CGTTCTTTCTTCTTACATTCTCTAGGTGTAACTTGTAAGCAATCACAGGTGCCCCATGTTGACCCGTGAACAAAATGGGCACAGCCATGCGATGCATTTCTGTCCCGTGAGACGCTTCAGAGGCCACACAGGACCCGTCAGAACAGCAGGCTCAATGGCATGGAACTCCATAGTGAAACAAAGACTGCATTTCCAAGTCACAAACCAGAGAGGGGTCACACCTCTTAAAACATTTCCAATACATCAACATGGATCATCTTCTCCAAACACTGGTGCCTATAGCAACAGCATGCTTCAGAGGAGGTCCCTTAGAGATTCAAGAAACCTCTCTGAAAAAAACACCAGGAAATCATTCACAGTCAAAAAAGCTCTGCTCATAGGTAACTATTTGTCAATGCTTCTCTAAAATGTGAGCAAAATGTTAAGCAAAGGATTAAATATATATTTAAACACTACTTTACATATTTAATGGGTTTTTGTACAGAACAGATACTGTGTATTATATTATTTTATAATATCTTATATTAAATGCAACCAGAAGTATGTGTTCAAAACATACACATTATCCATTTATATTATATTATATAATGCACAGTCAGCTGGTGATTACTCCAAAATAAAACCCATAAGGGTGATCATATTAAACAGGTTTATTTTGCAATAATAACCATATAACTGTACATTGTCCTGGTTATTATTCAGCTACTTAGCAGTTAATACATTTGCCTAATACTTTACTAAGATTCAGTTGTTGTTTGCAGCGGGTGCAGTTAAAGCTGTTTAAACCCTATTAATCAAGATATCTGTTTATGTTCTTACAGCATGTGGAGTGCGATGTGTCCTGTCAGCACGACCCTCCAACTGCTCCACATCACCACCCCATAAAGACGAGAAAGACAGATCTCATTCCATCTCTGCAAGAGGACAGGAATACAGAGACTGTGTTGAAACAGAGGGTGAACTGAAGGTAAGGGATGCATTCACTGCGATAAAAAAAACTGAGGAGAGAGAGAGAGCGAGAAGCAGTACACACAGACAGAGAGTCCCGCTGGATTCAAGCCACCGGCCTTCCACTGTCCCACTGGATAATCAGACGGGACGTCGAGCACTAAGCACACCAGGTACCCACTATGAAACACTTTATGGTGTCTCTCTGTGAGACCTATATTATTTTTTGAACCATTAAAATGAATTGAATCTTTTGTTTAAAGAAATAGTTCACCCAAAAATAAAAAAAATTGCTGATAATTTACTCACCCTCAGACAGTCCAAGATGTAGATGAGTTTGTTTCTTCATCAGAACAGATTTGGAGAAATGTAGCATTACATCACTTGCTCACCAATGGATCCTCTGCAGTGAATGGGTGCCGTCAGAACGAGAGTCCAAACAGCTGATAAAAACACATAATCACAATAATCCACCCATTCCCTGCAGAGGATCCATTGGTGAGCAAGTGATGTAATGCTGAATTTCTCCAAATCTGTTCCGATGAAGAAACAAACTCATCTACATCTTGAAAGGCCTGAAGGTGAACACATTTTCAACAAAATTTCCACAGGCTTTCATTCTGCATAACATTTCCTTTTGCATTTCACTAAAGAGCAGCTTGTTTGCCTATGTTAAAATACTCTATTGATTTGACCTCTTGATTCAGGAAATGTGCATTTTACTTTAAAAAAAAAATCTAAATCATCTCCCATATAAAATAAACCCAATTAAATATTTGACAACAAAATTGAAGCTAACGTTCCCAAAACTCCTACAGAAATGTATTTCTCCTGAGATTCAACAGTTATTCTGTGAGCAAAGGCACACTGTGAGTTTTGTATGGCAGTGTAGCTGACCTGTTAACATGAGTACATTTTTTGTCATCTCGAAGGTCTCATGATCAACGTTATAAACTAGCGGAAGAACGTTGCTGCTATGTTCTCCTTCTCAGAGTAAATAGTGTCAAATGCTTACAAGACACGAGCAGCAAATTAAAGATCATTTTCACAGTCCATTTCTCACACACTAATTCTCGTGTCATTCTTTATGGAGAAACTCCCATGTGCAAGATTATCTGGAGAAGAAAAGATGAACAAAATGTCCTTCAAGATAGACCTCAACATTTTAATGAAGAGCAGAGTCCCAATCTAACCCCATTACTACATCTCTACCTGCCTTCATCGTATCAGCCGCAGGAGCAGGGAGAAGATACAGCACCGGGACAGGAAAATAGGTAAAACTAAAACTTTTAGAACAGAGTTTTTAAAACAGAGCTTGGCCTACAACTTCAAAAAGAGGGTTTGATCAAGCACATAATGAAACGGACAACTGACATCGCTTTCAGAACGCTTTCACTTACTTTATACTATAACTTTAACCAAGGTAAACAACCCCGTCCGAAAATGCCATATAAAAAAACGTGTCAGTATATCGACACAAAAAGTGTTTAATATCTCATTCCAAAGCGAATAAGAACTTTAGAGTTTTACTATCATGAAACACTAGTGGCTAGTGGCTTTAACGTTTACAGGCTTCTACAGGTGGCAATTTATGGTGAAATCAGATGATTGGATGCGATAATCAATTATTTGGGTCTGTTTTATTTTTATTTGTTTATTACGTGTTTTATATTGAGAAGTAGATTTGGGTGTTCAAACTGAAAATCATACCTCAGCATATCATGTCATGGTGACAACAATATTCCTTAAACATAATTTATTGACGATAAAATTCCCCTTTGTCTTTATAGAGTGCTGTAGGGGTGATATATGTTTGTAGGCTAAAACCCCAAAATGAGTTTGCATTTTAGCCTGTCAGGTTAAATTCCTTAAAGGGATAGTTCACCCAAAAATGAAAATTACCCCATAATTCACTCACCCTCAAGCCATCCTAAGTGTATATGACTTTCTGCTTTCAGACAAATACAATCAGAGTTATTCTAAAAAAATGTCCTGGCTTTATAATGGCAGTGAATGGTGGTCGAGACTATAAAGCCCAAAATTTTCCTTTGCTTGAAACAAAACTTGGTTATCGCAAGACTAGCATATTCCAACACGATCTCATGAAAGTGTGTATAAATAGTATGCCAAATAAAAACCAAAACTCGTGGTATTGAAACGCAAAAATGGACTTTGGCGTGTATATGCTACGCGATGGGTAGGTTTAGGGTTGTGGGGTAGATGCGTATCATATGTACGCGAAAACTGCGTATCATATGCACGCCAACAAATTTCATATCATATGCACGAGAAAACTGCGTATTATATGCACGCCAAAGTCCATTTTTACGTATCAATACCAGAAGTTTTAGTTTTTATTTGGCATACTATTTATACGCATTTTCATGAGACGGGGCTCCATATTCTCACCGGAGCTTACACTACGTCTACGTCATTTGCTGGAACGCCACTCTCTCGTGAACGAGCGTACGACAGTTAACAGAAGCTAGAGAT